TTCTCATTAAAATTTTAAAAAACATCAACGAAACAAATATTTCTAGCTACCCTACATTGTAATCAACTGAAATAGTTTTATTTATATAATATGTGCTTAATAATCATCTAAATAAATCAACATTTTGAGATCTTTATGTACTTATCTACGACTAGGTATATGTTAATCATCATCATCTAATTCAGTCAACATTTTTTCTATTTCGTCCGTGGTGTAAGCTTTATTATGACTGCTTCCTTGCATTCTATTTATATCAATTAACTCCCGATCATTTTCTTTATTTTCGACAATGTTTTCAGTATCAAACTTATAAAATTTCTCAGAAAATAGTATTTTCGATATTTCGTCTTTAGGCCTGTTTTTGTTTTTGTTTTGTTTCTTTGGCGCCGGTTGTTTCTCTTTTCCTAATTTCTTTCTCTCCCTTTCTTCTTTTCTTTTCTTGATACCTTCTGCTTTCTCTGTTTTAATTCTTTAGAAATTTTATTTTAGAAGTTATTTCTGCAGGTAATCTTTTATTTGGAAAAATGACCATTGGCGGGGTAAGATTCCCGTCTGCACTAAAAGTAAACATTAACAGTAACAGTAACAGTCAACGAAGTTTTTGCCTGGGCCTGATCAACTTCATAAACATTTTTCTCTCCTTTTAAACTTAAAACTAGACCTGTTTTTGGGCACAGCACAAAATTGGTTTCATCTCCATTTAATACACGCGCTGGGTCAGAAAGTATATGAAGCAAATTATTTTCAACAAAGTAGTCATTGATTTGCCAAAACCATCCCCTAACATCATTTTCTGACACTGTCGAGCTGGCAGCTGTAACTGCTTCTGGTGTGCGGAAAGCAAGACTAGGATGTCTGGCTAGAAATAACTTAAACCATTTCTCGCCATTTTTAAAAGTGGACGTCCGATTAGTTTTTTTTAGAAATTCCGAAACGCTTTTGATCAAATCCTCTTTTCTCTTTGGGAAACCTTTTATACTACTGACTTTGATCCAAGTCACTTAAGCCTCTTCTTCCTCGTTATTTAAAATTGTGGGTGGGCCTGGTTTACAGCCATGCTCTGGATTTTTTAACCGGAATTGTATGGTAGAACGCGGTACTTGGAAGGTTTTGGCAGCAAGTTTTTTACTCATGCCTTTAGAAATTTCTGCAAGGGCTTATTGTAAATTTTCATCTGAATAGGCCTTCCGCTTTATTTTATCAATCTTCACTTTTTTATTGTTTTTTGTACGAGGCTTCATTTTGAAGATAACTGAATATATTTTTTTAAATTATTATTGGCATCCCAAATACTAATTATTGACACTACTGCTAATAAATGGTTTTTCATACCATTGGCAGTGGGCCAAAATTTGGAAGAATATGTTCTTAACTTGTGATATGTATTTATTAGAAATCTGAATCGAACGATAATAAATATAAAGTATATTTTGCCATAAAAGGTATTTTTTCTTATTTACCTAATATTGGCACGTGTGCCAATAAAAAGGTTTTACTCATATTATGTGTACCAAATGTTGGCACCGTAAAAAAATATGCAAAATGAGTCTCGACATTAAAAATCATGATTGAAAATGCTAGAAAAACATTTAAATAATCCAATTGAACAGTATCTGTAACCAACACTCAAAAGACTTGCGAAAATTATTGAGATTAGTGAACCTCTTACCTTAGAAAAAGCACAAAGTTTTGTTAGTTTTTTTATTCATCTCCGAGCACGACCAATAGGTGTTCACTGCGACGCCATATTTTAAAAAGGAACGATTTCTGTGTTGGCGGTATTATAGAACGTTAAACCTACTATTTATTATACGAAAAAAAATCTGTATTTGGATACTGGTAACCTTATTATTGATAAATAACTACAACGTGCCAATAAATTGGTGGAGTGCCAACAATAGGTGGTCTTACCCTATATGTATGTTTGTTACCCACAAGTTCTTTTGTTTTCTTTCATACAAAATCTTTGAATAACAAAACCTTTATAGGCATATTTTTTCTCCCATTATATGGCTTTTTTTGAAGCTGCGTCTGTGATGCATTTAATAATTTAATTGATTATATATATAAGTATCTTATACAATATATCATACGTGATACATATGTACATTGTAATATTAGATGTATTTCAATCCAAAGTTTTAGTATCAGGAAATACGTTAATGAAGTTGAATATCATTAATTACTCATTTTGACAGTCAGCAGCTTCTGAGATCCGAAAGATAGGTGATTAATTTAGCGATAGTGAGTGAACTTTTATCGAAGTTTTATCAATAATTTTATTTAAAAATATTTTAAGTATGTTTATAATGTATAAGAGTCATTAATCTAGCAGTTGTATGTCTCAAATCACCTGCGATCTCTATTAAGTGGAAGCATTTGTAACAAAACAAGTCGTTACTCTTATAATACTCTTTTTCTTCGAGAGTATAAAACTCATTTAAAATGGACCACTGAAACATTTGTCTTTATAATATTATTCCTGAACCCTTAAATACATTGGGATGTAATAATGATCAAATAGCTTCTGCATATTCCTTCTATGAATAAGTTGCTTTAAATACTTTTTCTAATATATAATACTTCAAATTAATATATACTATAATTCTATTTAGTCAGTGGTGGCCTAGTGGTTAAAGGGTCCGCCTCTCGTTGCCGAGGGCGCGGGTTCAAACCTGGCAAGTACCAATGTGATTTTTCGGAGTCATATGTACTTTCTGAGATTATTTAGACACCACTGACCTACGGTAAAGGAAAACATCGTGAGGAAACCTGGACTTATAGTTTCACAATTATAAGTTTGAAATCACCAACCCGTCCTGAGCAAGCGTGGTGATTAATGCTCAAACCTTCTCCATGTGAGAAAGAGGCCTTTGCTCAGCAGTGGGCGTTGATAGGCTGATGACGATGACGAGTGAACTTTTATCGAAGTTTTATCAATAATTTTGTTTAAAAATATTTTAAGTATGTTTATAATGTATAAGAGTCATTAATCTAGCAGTTGTATGTCTCAAATCACCTGCTATCGCTATTGAGTGAGAAGCATTTGTAACAAAACAAGTCGTTACTCTTACCATACTCTTTTTCTTCGAGGGTATAAAACTCATTTAAAACGGACCACTGAAACATTTGTCTTTATAATATTATTCCTGAACCCTTAAATACATTGGGATGTAATAATGATCAAATAGCTTCTGCATATTATTCGATGGATAAGTTGCTTTAAATACTTTTTCTAATATATAATACTTAAAATTAATATATACTATAATTCTATTTAAGGCTTTGTATTAATATAAATTAAAAAGTTTTCAATGAACTCCGTTACAAAATTACCAAATTTATAGTCCAAACCCTTTTTTCTGAACAGAAATATTATTGAAGTTTTATTCAATCTTATTGAATAAGTTCAATCAATTATAATAAATCATTATTATGTTTCACAAATTGATAGCACTATAGTATATTACGAAATAATTCAATTAATCTAACCCAATTTATTGGCCGGATATCCGTTGTTAATGGGTCGGGTGTATTACACACTTATCTTGGTGTTTTGAGATCAGAAATACTTAATATTGTAATTGGCAATATCTTTTGACTCGAATTTTTATTATAGCTGTCTTTTTGCTAGTTTGTTTAAACGTTCATTAGTTTTCAATTCATGAAACAAAATAAGGCCATGTGCCCAAATAAGTGCTTCTCTAAAAAAATCTTAAAATACACGCTTTTACTTGGCTTTTATTTTTATTTTATGTCAATACAAAAGGCTTATTAACATTTCTGAAAAGAGCACAATTAAGTCGTCAATAATTTAAAATTTATGGATATGAATGAAAGACATTTTTAAGATTTTATTTAAGAAACTGATATTATAATTAGAACTTTCACAAGGATTGGTAATTTTCCCAAACTCTTTAAAAAAGTTACAACTTGTTTAGGTTAAATCAATCTAAATGAGAACAGCTTCCTTTAAGTATTACTCAATTTTCCGCTTAAAGGGAAATTCTAGACTTCCTTCAGTATCGACTTGAAACTTTACACTTTAATTTACTGAGCATAATTCTACTAAAGTCTACTACTAACTGACTCTAGGGCCCAGGTTGAATCCGTCTTTTTTGTGACTAATTTAAAACACACACCCTTACTATTTATATAGCGTTTGCTTTATGGAGAATTGAATCCGTTGCGAATTTTTTCCTTAAGTAAAAACTATAATTGGATTTCATTTAATTTAACCATAGTTTGGTATTTTATTACAGTGGATCATACATCAAGGTAAAACAATTTTCGATTCGATATTTTTTTCATAATAATAATTGTTTCGAAAATAATTCGTATTGACTATATTGCTGCTCATGTTTTAATACTCCTACAAGATAAATTTATTTCTGTAAACTTGAACTCCATTGACAACAAAAAAAAACTTATGACATATTTATAAATAGAGGAAGCTCAAAAAATTATAATACAATTTATATTCACTTCAGGCTAAGAGTGTTCAAGGAAGTACTGGGGAATAAATTAATTACAAAGTCGCTAAAAGCTTTAAAACTTCGGTTCAGTAGTTCCAAGTGTACATTATTATTATATTAGTTGCCAAAGTTGGTAAATATCAATAGTTTATTATTTAAAAATATTTCTAGAGTTAAATACGTAACACCATAGGTGACATGAAATATTAAAAAATATATTTATGAGAACGTAACTCCGAAGTCAAATCAGTCAAGAATTTTAAATAGTAGAACAATAGTTTCAATTACACTAGGGTTTTTTATGAAGTAATGAAATGTTTGAACAGCAAGACACACCTCTTTTTAGAGATAGTTTGCTTACTCAAAGAATTATGCATAAACAGTTGCTTTAAAATCAAGATCCTTTTATACCCTGTATGCTTAAGTTAAAAATAACTTTTCTTTCATACTATGAAGGTTATTAAAACAAATTTTTCCAACAAGATCAGAACCAAGTCTTTTCTCTTTTTATATGACTATGACATCATGATTCCGAAGTATCATGACGTTCTGTCATTGCATCCATTGCTATGTAAGTTAGCAAGTGTAAGAACTTTTGTATTCAACTTATATGAGTATTGAGTAATGTGTATAATTCCCATAAATACTCAAAGTACAATTGCTTTGCCTTCTTTCAGCCTACCAACACAACTATTAAATTATGGACTAGTTTTATAGGTAATTTTGTTATATTTCGTCTACAAAAAGAGGATTTTAAAATTGATAGGCTTTTTACTTTTGGATCAAAAATAAATATGTTGTTTAAAAAAAAATATCATTTTCGTGAATATGTTTGTGTAATATATAACTATAATACCAGCAAATATAATAATTATTGTTTAAAATTTAAAGTAAGTCAAGATACAATTTGATTAAATCGAAATGCAACTAATTGTTGCTAATGAATTGATTGAAATACAGAATCACATATTATAAAATTTAAATTAAAATAATATTACTGTATTTACTTGTTTAAATTATTGTTTATTATTAATATAGGTCAGTGGTGGCCTAGTGGTTAAAGGCTTCGATCCTAGCAAATACCAATGTGATTTTTCTGAGTCATATGTACTTTTTTAGAGTATTTAGACACCACTATTTAACATTCAATTAATACAAAAATATGTTTATTTTACTTTACATTATTATATTCAAATCGGTAAAATTTTAATTTGATGCTACTGAGAGTTCGCCTCATGGTAGTTTGTGAAGTTTATAATTTACGTATTCACAAAAGTTTCAGTACTTATTATCTTACGGTACTATAAAAATATATTAGTTTTAAAAAACAACTTTTATTAAACGCAATTATAAATAGGCAGATGACAGTCACTGTTGCCTTCTCGTAGTGACCATGACTGTGGTATAAACTAAGTTTAGATAATAATCAGAAGTAAAGCTATTTTATAAAAATAAATAATCAAGAAAAAATTCATTAAGAAATTACATCACTACATATTAGAATGATCTATAACTTATTACTTATTGACATTTTTTTAAAAATATTATACAAAGCATTTAATTGATATTTTGAAAAGTTTTGTCACTTAAAACTATTTAGCTTTAATATTATATAAATAATTTAATTTATTTATGCTACTCAACAAATTTTCCTTAAAACAAATTATTTAATACAGAAATTAAGAATGAAAATAAACGGGTATTCAATTGTTCCACTAGCTACAAGGTTCGGTTTAAGTGACAATATTATTTAAAATTATTAAAGCAAAGTCCTTTATTCTTGCTGAAATAAAAGCAATTTGTAATAAAATATCGATAAAGTCGTTTCGTAGTTTAAATGGATTGCACAGAAAAAACACGAGGACCCATATATATTTTGCTTTTCACAGTTTAACACAATTATTTAACTATATCACTGCTCGTCTAGTCATGAATATAGTAATAATAATAATTCTCTAATGCAATGAAACAAGAATTTACATTGTCTCTTTTAGCGGATATAATAATTAGAATTCCAACATTTCTCCGGCAATAATATGATGTGAAATAAAATTAATTATATGTATCTATTCCTCATACACGAGAAAAACTGAATTGTTATAAAGCTACGTATTATCGTTTTAAATATTCATTTGCTTTATAGTTTGCGTATATTTATGTAGTTAGAAATATGTATATCTCTTTAGTGATTTTAGAAAAGAATCTGTTTTTGTTTTAAACAGTTTTTTTCTCAAGTTGATAAAATATTTCTTTGATTCGTAAAAAAGTAAGTTTAGAAAATTATAGTTCAATGTATTGTATACTAATTTTCTTTGGTTTGCGTGGGTTTGTAATTTATTTATTTTTTATTGAAAGATGTTAATAGATTATCTTATATAAAAATCTCTAAGACTTTAGCGAGTATTCATTAAAATCTTATATTTTCCTCAACCATGTCTATTTATGCAGTAAATATATATATATATATAATTATGTATAAGGAGGTGTCTCCATAATCCATCGTCAAATCTTAACCCTAAAAAAAAATTTAAATGTTTTAGTATGAAAACTGAACACATGTCACCTGCTTCCCTATATGAAGTAAGGCATCCTTTATTTATCGCCTTGAGTCAATATCAATTTGTGAAGCGACTGGTTTCAATATATAATAATATATCGGAGGTTGCAGCTTCTAACCATTCTCTTGAATGAATTTTTCCTTCTATATCTATTTCAATTTGTACAGTACTATGAATTAAATCTTAACTAAATACATTTTATCAACGAATCTACTACATGATTATTTCGTTTTCGTATCATAATTTTTAAAATTCACTTTGATTAAACACATAATAATATTTTCATAGGCATCTGAGTGGGAAAAGGAGGATGCGGCTGATGCACGATCCCTTAGTAAGTAGTGGCCTGAACAGGTCGAGTCTCACACATCCCTTCCGGCCCCACCAAGGCCAGTTGGACATCAAAAAAAAAAAGTTTTAAATCTTGAACCAACGTTTCATTTATACTATAGTAATAAAATAAACGGGAATTTATTGATTAAAAATAATATTTAGATCGATCTAGTTGTGTCTGTCCAATTAATTTAGTAAGTTTATTACATTAAAACCAAGTTTATAGAAGAAAAATTCAATCGAACAGGTTTAGCGGCTGCCAAAAACTATTAATTTTTATTGGTTCAGACGTCTGCTGATAATGTTTATGAAGATAAAGAATATTTTAAATTAACACGTGAAACTCACATATATGTACTTTGTTATAAGAGGACAAATAGAACACACTTGTTCTTACATAAATTAAATTAATTACGATAGTCTAAGATAAAACGATTATAAATATTTGAACCACTTGTAGAAAATAAAAAACGTTAAGAGGACTAATCAGTCTGTAAAAACTTTTAATTTGCATAACTGCCACACGTCATATGATTAAATGTCGGTTTTAAATTTAGATAATATTTAAAAGTATTAATTAACAGTACCACTCACAACTAGTTTAATATAAGACGACAAGGAGAACAGAATAGTTCTTTCAAAAATTAAATTAATTGCATTAGTCTAAAATGAAACTATTATTCATGTTGTGTATAATGATATACATGTGTTGTGTTTACAAGTGTTTCAATCTTTTGTTTTATTGGACTAAAAAGAAATAAGCAATAGTTTCTTTAAATTAGATATAAGTAGTAGACTATAAAATATTTTTTAGAAAAAAATCCTAGATTTCAATTTTACAGAAATTTCCTTCCTACTTTCAAACAAGTTAAATGTTTTCTTGTTGTCTTAAAGGTTTGGGTGAATGTGATGAAGGAACCCATGCCTACACCATCGGCTGTGGTTATCTCGAGCCAGAACCAACTTGTGAAGACCCACACCCGTCCATCGACCAAGGAATCTTAATCTGTGACTTTATGGCCTGTTACTGTGATTCACCAACAGTCAGAAATAAACTCATAGGTAAATGTGTGCCTCTTGATGAATGTCCTCAATAAATTTTACCTATCAATTCTGTTAATTTTACTAACTAAAATATATGTGCATTATAAATGTATAAAATATTTGTTTAGAAATAAATCGATATAATAATTTCAGTAAAACTACATCTGTATTTTTCATTACCTTTTTCATTAAGATTTCTCAGCCTAAACTTCACATAGTTTTATTATCTGGCTATAAATATCAAGAAGTGAAAAATCGCTAGCTAAGTCTCTCAATATTAACTCTGAAGGGACACCTTTATCCTAAAAATATGTCATGAATGGTCGTTTGCGATTTATGAGTATTGACTGCGAGTGTTTTCCCATTTAAAGTTTCCTCAAAAACTTTCCCAATTCAATTCCTAGCCGTATAGTTTTTGTTAACAAGTTTTTCTTTTTTTTTATTTTAAATTGATATTTATAATAGATTAATATCTTTTCTAGTCACAAAATATTAAAAAAATAATAATTGGATTCCAAACGATCAGACATCATTTTGAAGTTTTAAACTTATTCTTATGCTATGAATAAGACAACACTTTATTTGTAAAAAATTAATTACTTTTCTCGAGTAATCATGATATCATAAACGATCTTTTGACTTGTACTTTAGCACTTATCTTAATAAATTTGAAATAAGTTTTTAGAAATAAAATACAAGTTGAATTCATTAGATTCAAATCCGTTGGTAATTATCTTAGAATGATATAAAAAATCTATTTATAATATGTGTATTACAAATATTATAAATCGCAAGAGAGAAAGAAGATTCATAATTATGTGCTATTACAAAATTGTTATGTCTTTTCAATATAAAAAAATACAATCATACTCTTCATTTGTTTGAATAACACCGAAGACTGGATATATAATAAATAAATATCGTTAAGTTTAAATTATACAACGTTTAACAAAAAAGAAAAGGCTTTTTTGTTTTCACCTATTCAACTATGCGTCGGAAAATAAAAATACTTTGAAGAGATATGACAAGGGCCGATATATTTTTGTTAGCACCTGGGCTCGTCCAAATTTAGGTATAGCTTACATTATACGTATTGATATTATTTATTAGGTTAAATAAACAGAAAATAAGAAAAAATACTTTTTTATTAAAAAGAAACTTATAGTGTGAACGTCAAATTTTTATGTGTATGTATTTATTTTTCTATTTTGATTTTGTGATTATGGTTGGAAAATAAAACCATAATAATAGTGTTCTTTGAACATAATCTCTTAAAAGTTTAATAGCAAAAAGTGATATACCTATATGGTGTTTATTCCTTATGAGAGGCAAAGAAAATTAGACAAGTGTTACTTAAATATTTTGCGGATATACAACGCGACTTTTTTTATAAAAACTACATACTCCCTACGTTCTCTCTCTCTACAGACACTCAAAACATTAGTTTCATTTTAATGATCTCAAAATGTAACGTAAGTCTAAATATCCTATGAATTTTAACAAATATAATTACTATTTTAAATAAACTAACTCCTTATCATAACTTATTCTGTAGCAAATCTGATAGTAATATTAAATATCGTTATTCCAGGAATTAATGCGAAAGCACACTGCCTATGTATCAATATTAACAAAGATATATTCTGGCATGAAACAAATTGGAACTAGGAATTATGGACGTTCCTGGTACACAAAACAAGGACGTAATCATATGCAACTTGGCAAATAGAACAATATCATTACAATGTTAATGATTTAAATATTACGACAAGTTTAGCAATTATATTGTCTTTATACATATAAAAGAAAGTTGTTTAGTTACACTATTTATAACTCAAGAACAGCTGTGAGGATATGGATCAAAATTGGTGGAAAGATAGCTTAGAACAAGAAGACGCAGATAAGACATTTAATTCTGTTAGATCGAAAAAGAAAAAAATACTTGATAAATTCCAAAATCTGATAATTTATGGCTTCTACTTCGGAATAAAGTTCGTCCGGTCAGCTATACATATATTACTAATTTCTAAATTAACGCGGCCGAAGTCGCGGGCAAAAATTAGTATCTGGTAACTAAGCATCATAGATGTAGCTAATATAATATATCGGATATATTATTATTGTAATCAGGCAGGCGAAGGTTTTCATGGGGTCTGTCATAATGTCAGTTGACATTGATATTTACAGATGATGTTACATTGTAACTAAAGGAGATCATGATTATTGTTATATTCTGATAATATAACATACTACAAATATATTATTATTATAGCTTATACTGCAACTAGTACAGTTGCCAAGAAAAAACACAATCGCTTTAGCAGTATTCCACCAAAGTTTATTTAAAAACAAACCATTATACTTTTTTAAATTTTACATATATTGGTTTTAAATTTCTATTTTAATGCACATGAACGAAAAGTATTTTGTAAATTATGCACCTCCGTAACCTTTATACATTTATCAAAATTGCTTTAAAACAGATAACGAAAGAGTACAGAACTGTACAAATTTCAATTATCGTCAATTTATTTCAGTAGGTTATCTACCTCATGCTTATTGCAATTCAATATTATCTTACTTATATGTGTATAATTGTATATATATGTATGTCTGTCTGTGTGTATGTTATTAAATAAAGAATTATTATCAAAGCTATTTTTAGTTCCTTTATTCTTTATAAACGAGCTGCTATAAAACTAATTAAACCGGGAGTTTAACAACAACGCAAAAGATTTAGTTTGTACGTTTAGAGAATTTTAATTCATTTTGTAGGAAAAAAATAATAATCTTAGCACAAATGCTAGGAAGATTTTATTTGATGGAGTGAATATTTCGGAATATTGTATAATGGGAATATATAGAAAAGAATATATTAAGATACTTTGAATATTAGAATTCAATTGGAAAATTTGTTTGTGAAAACTTTGAATGGAACAACACTTGTCCACACCAACAAGTCAATACTCATAAATTGCAGACCAGCATTCATGGCATATTTTTAGAATAATAATGAGAAACTCAATTCGAGCTTTTTTTTAATATTTATAACCAGATGATAAAGCTGTACTTAGTAGGTATTAAAATTAAAGCATACTTTACACTGAGAAGTTGGAATTCGCCTAATCTTGTAAGATCCTTAAAAGCACAGATTTAGTTATTCTTAAATTATTATATAGTATTATTTTTAAACAAATATTTTATACATTTATAATGAACATATATCTTAGTATGTAAAATTTACAGAAGTGATAGGGACAATTTATTTTGGACATTCATTAAGAGGCACACATTTATCGTTGAGTTTATTTCTGACTGTTGGTGAAAAACAGTCACAGGTGAAGTAGTCACAGAAGTAGCCTCGTTGGTCGATGGTCGGGTGTGGGTTATCACAAGTGGGTTCTGGCTTGCGATAACCACAGCTGATGCTGTAGGCATGGATTCCTTCATCACATTCAAAACCTTTAAGACAACAAGAAAACATTTCACTTGTTTGAAGATAGTAAATTTCTTTAAATAGAAATCTAGGATCTTTTTTAGACTAAATCTTATTAAAGAAAAATATTAGATTATTTCTTTTTAGTCCAATTACACAAAAATTTAAATACTTACACATACCAATGTCGTAAACACATATTGATATACACAACATGAATAATAGTTTCATTTTATACTAGTGCAATTAATTTAATTTGTGAAAGAACTATGTATTGTGTTCTCTATGTCGTCTTATATCAAATTAGTTGTGAGTGGTGTTGTTAATTAATACTTTCAAATATTATCTAAATTTCAAAACCTACATTTAATCATATGACGTGTGGCAGTTATGCAAATTAACAGTTTTTACAGACGGCTTAGTCATTTAATGTTTTTTTTGGTCTACAAGTGATCCTAACGTTTGACGAAAATTTCCAGATACAATATATGACACAAATTCAATTCAATTGGAGCTTGCAACTTTTCGTAATGGGAGCTTTGAGTACTCCAATAAATCCTAGGGTTTCTCCAGCAGGCAGTACCGTTCAGCCAGGCCTTAGACAAAAACCAGATGAAGGACAAAACACTACAGAAGCAGTGGAGGGCGGGTTTTTCCTCAGTGTCTGATGAGCAGGGAATCGTATGAGAGACGGAGCTAATAATTCGGCAACCTTTTAGCGGTAGCAGCGCTGTTATTATGTCAAGCAGCGATAAGCTGGGAAGAACAAGGGCATTGTCATCAAAGGTCAAAACAACCCCACCATGAACAGTTCTCGTCCAGACTCCTGTCTGGGTGATCTCGCTAATAAATCGAAACTAAAACAACGGAACCAGTCAAGGCAAAACAACCTATAATATTTAGGCCAACTCCTCGAGTGGAAGTCGATCAAGAAAAGACTCAGAAGTCTCAAACTGTTAATAAATACATCTTAGGAGACTTTTTTTGTCTGGGGGACTATGTTTTAAATATTATTGACAAATATAATTTAAAACATTATTTTTAATTTGTATAATATAGTTCATTTAAGTATTTTATTTGATTGTCAATATACATACCATTATTTTAATTTAATTAATACAATTCTGGAGCAAGTATTATAATAATCACTTAAAAATTATTTAACTGTCATCAGGAAAGCAACATTTTACTATTATCTTTTATTTTTATAATTTACCGTCGCACCTTGTAATTATATTGTTTCCCACATAATCAAAGTCTCTTGAAATTAACGTCTATTCGATGAATAGGTAATATAATTTATTGTTATAATTCATATTTTAAATTATATATATAACATTAGCAAAACACGTTTTGGAATCCATTGTTTGGTATTAAATATTGATTCGTATATTTTCCTTAACATATCTTATTTTATTAAGTAGAGTAAAAAATGTTGGTTTGTTGATTTTTATCACGTACAGACACTAATTACTACGTCTGTAATCTAACGCTGTGGAATCCTAATGCAGTGAATAAAATGCCTTTAATTAAAAATATATTCTAGCACATATAAAAGATTATTTAAAGCAAAATAACATAAGTAAAATTTAATTGAACATAAAATAATCTGAAAAATATCTCGCTATTAAATCTATTTACGTTTATTTTTCAGTTATTCACGGTGGAGGTGAGTGTTTAACTCGCGTTAGATAGTATCCTTTAAACCTACACCTGGGTCGCGAATCTCAGAAACTGTTGAACCTTCTCTCCCTGCAACGATGGACCCGACACCCGCACGGTGAATACATTGAATGCTAATAGGTTTTGTCTCTATATAAATTGAACACTAAATAAACAACAGCTGTTTTGTCGTACAAACATAGATTAAAAAATATAAAAATATATATCACCAATAATAATTTATATACATATTACATAAAAAAATATAGAATGAAAAAGAGGTCATTTAATAAGGACTTCGTAGTACAGAGAAACATACCTATTACTTACAACTATAAACTAGCAAGTGATGGAATACAAAATAAGTGAGATTATTAAAAAATCTGTTTGAACAATAAGGTAATTGAACTTTAATCATTCTTCAATCAGTTTGTTGATTTGACATATAAGAGAGTGTGTAGAATTTGTAGGCATATAAAAAAAGGAAGAGAGCATAAAGAGAAATTATAATTATTTGTATTAGTGCAAAGTTATATTGAGTAAATGTAATGCCAAATAAAATTACTATTTCTACACTGATCTATTTAAAATAATCAATGTATCTACAGCGTCTTTTAACACAATGCAACTTTTCTATCTTCTTCTATCTGGCAATTTCGCAGCTTTAGCCAAGGTCTGCCTTAAATGTTGTGAATAGTTTTTGGCTAATTGTTATTACGACCGGCCACCTGCCTGATATCAACCCAATGCAGTGATGTCTAAATAATCTTAGAAAATACATATGACTCGGAAAAATCACATTGGCCCTTGCACAGGTCAGGATCGAACCCGCGTCCTCGTGCATGACAGGCCTTTTAACCACTAGGCCACCACAGACTTTTTATGCAACCTTTCTATATCCGTGCATAACTTAGCTTATCACGTTAAACAAGAAAAAACTTTCTCATTGTTATAATGTTAAATTGATAATTTAGTTAAATGTATGTATGTTTATAATACGTTAATATGTATAGCATCGAAGTAACAATCATATCATTATCAATCATATAAAAAATGGTTCTGTTTTTAATACATTCATAAATGTATGTATATACATATTTATAGCTATACATTTAAGGCTATAATTAATATATTTAAGACTATAATTTGATTACCTCATTCTAGCTCAAAATAGTTGTCTACAGAATAATTCTATTTCTCGTACTATCATTAGAATTAACCTTAACATGGTACATTTATCTTATTCAATAATCTTTGTTTAATTATTAAATTACAAGTCTTTGGTTGAAGACAAAAATTTGAAATTATCCACAACGGGTCAATAAAAATCTCTCGGTAAGTCAACTAGGTTCAATCTGTTCAATAGGTTTAACTTGCATTTAACTGCATATATTTTTACAAATTAAAAATCACTTCACAGTCCCAAATTAAAAGTAGGTTCCTTGAATTCTTGTGTCAATTAATTTAAATTTTCCATTACGAAAAAATGGATGATTTAGCAACAAAAAAATCTTAATAATAAAACCTTGTGTATGACTTACAGGGCTCAATTATTGTCAATAGCATTTAACTAACACAATACGAATACGTAGTTTGAATATTCATTTTAAATGATTGGATACTAGGAATAAAAAGTCAGAGTAAAAAAGCATGGCATATATTCATAATTTCTTCAGTTCGGAACAATTTACTTAGGACATTCTTCAAGAGGTACACATTTGTTATTCACTTTATTCCTCACTGTGGGAGGATCGCAATAACAAGCCGAGTAATCGCAAATACGAGCCCTCATATCAGTAGCTGGGTTTGGATTCTCGCAAGTAGCTTCTGGCGTAAGGTAACCACAGCCAGTAGTATAAGCATGAGTCCCGACTTCGCATTCACGAACACCTGTTTGAACAATAAAATAAATTGACAGAAATTTCTTTATTAAGATATGTAAAGTATTGATATTAATATAGTATTTTAGCTAAAAATATCAGACATCAAAATTTTATAATTCTTCTAATTAAATTGAAACTAATATTTTCGGCATCTCGTCTGTCCGTGATTGCGGTTGCTGCAAAGTAACCGAAACGTTTGGAGTACGTAGTTTAAAATAATAAAATACGCGAGGTAATCCGAAAACATAAGTTTCATTTATATATGTTATAACTATAATTTAAACATTATATGACAAAGTACATATTTGACAAAGTTTAATTGGAAGTGTAAATATGACTTGTCCGTCGCTGGCCTTGAGAAGATTCTTATTATAATCGATATACCGAACCTGTTTTCGGCTATTTTTTTATTTGTAACTAAGGTATTATAAATGTTCTGTTTGCAATATTCAAGATAGTTCTGTTTGCAATTCAAGATAGTTCTGTTTGCAATATTCAAGATTTTTGTAAATAAAAATAAAACAAAGTATGAAATGTTTGTTTATTTCATAAAAAAAGAAGTAATCATTACAAGTGGTTATCTATGAAACCGTTTGTGGTAACTATCAGAGGTTAAAAAAAGGTTAAATAAGATAAATATTACTGTACAAATATAACTAGAAGCTATAAATGTGTATTCTTAAATGCATATATTGTTAAAAATACCTCGTTTTTAAATAAAATACACTTGGTTAAATAAGAACACATCTATGAAATGTCACTTGAATGACAAAAATATAATGATGGTGATTTAAAATTCTCTTTTCTTATATCAAATAGACGATTTCAAAATGGATTGTACTTGAACAAAAGCTCAATATAAATAGGCTGAATAAAATTCATTCTTTGACAATTTCTTTCAAACAATACTTACATTTTCCCAACGCGTAAATACAACCCCTTGGATATAGAGTTGTCTCGGCAACGGTTAAGCCAAAAAAGGCTATTAAGCACAATACAAACACTGATTTCATTTTGTTTATTATAATTTTCAGTACAGACTTGCGTGATGACCGATGTCTTGTATCGATCTGTTTGCGAGCGTCTGCACTTATAGTTTTTATTTATGAACACTAGTTAATTAACGTGATTCTGCTTGTCAACAAAATTTGATCGATAAGAGAAACTAATGATTTTAGTAATAATATATTAATTCTATTTAATTGAGTGATCTTTATAACTATTAATATGTTTAGATTTTATACCTTTTGAAATTCTTAAGGTTGATATTGACTTATAAAATACACTAGTAAGTATTTATTTTTTAACTTTACTGTTACTTTGTTCTGTACCCTGCAAAACGTATTTCGAAACTAGTGTACTTGTTTACAAAACATACAGACAGAGAGACGATAATCCTAAAATTATTTTAGTTCCTGATACATGAACAAAGTTTTTCTCATATTTCTTCAATATACAGACATCTATATTTTTTAATACATTGTGCCATGTTAGTAAAACGTTTTTGATTTAGTCGATTTAAGATGGACACACGTGATGTCATTTACACATAAAATTATGATTATCTATTTATATGTTCAATCACAGTATTATTTAAAAATATATATCTTACTTTCCTAATTGTAATATAATTGTCTTAGTAATTAACCACATCAAGTTAAATGATAAAGCGGCTGTTGATATATTATTATTATTAATGGGTTTCATTTGGAAATTAACGAACCAGTTTTTAATGATATATTTATAACAATTAAATTTGTGGTTAAAAGATAAAAAAATATTAGTACATAACTTTATTAATGTTTTATTTGAAAAAGAAGAGGAAATATTTCAATATTATTACAAAGTCGTGCTTAGAGTTGATTAAAAAAACTTTTAGTGTAATTTTCGAACCAGTTGTACCGACCTTTAGTTTAAAATAAACATGATAATATTGTCGTAAATAAAAAAGAAAATATAAATGAAGTGAATAAAATTGAAGTACGGTAGAAAAAATCATGCTTTTATAGTGGTTGAGACTTCGACAATATCTGTTAAACATATATATCGGCGCTATCAGTTAAAATGACGGATACGTCATGAAAATAATTGAGTCTGTCATCAACTATTATAAAAACTCATTAGTATTCATGATTACTGTTAAAAGTAAAACGAAATCAAATATTGTTTAAAAGGACAATAGAACTATGTTTGAATCTTGGTATAAATATGACGTCTAGACGCAAGACGGCAGAATTCAGTTAGAGCGGGCCATTGAATAATGTGATTATAAAGAACCTTCTAGAAATACAGGAACATTAAAAACAATTGAAGTTTCATTTTAAAATATCTTGGACCGTACTAGAATCGTCAGCGAGGCTGGCGTCTTTCTTTAAAAAACAACGAATGTGTAATAAATTCGATATATATACAATGCTCTATAACATACAAATATAACATATATGTATGTGTGAAATGAGATAAGTGAATGATAATATTTACTTAATAAGTAACCGGCTAAGAGACCTCCTAATGGTATATGGATTACGTCTCCAAAGATATTCTGTTTTTGTTGGATATTCTAAATAGGATTCTTTATAAAGTTACTTGGGGTTAAAATGATATCGGAATGGAGTATATACAGGTGCAACTGTCTTTTTCATTCGTTGTGCTACTCTCTTATCAAATAGAACTGTTTTCAACATTTATGCAAAGTCAAGAATAATTTTCACTTTTAATATTGTACTTATATAAAGATTATACTTTATTTTTTATTATTGTACTTGTATATAGATATATACATAGATTTAATGTTTACCTTCTTGTATGTTAACAACATGATGATTACATATTTAAATTGACAGTCTGTTTAAAAGTTTAACACAATGATATTAAAACAATGTTTCTTTGTTACTTGTAATATAAATAAAATCGAAAACATAATATATGAAAATTCAGACTCGTCGTTCATACCTGATGAATCAAGTTGATGTATTTCTATCTTATTCTTAAACTTTGTCTATTGAAGAAACAAGATAATTTTATACTATCAATTACTTGGTTATAGGCTATATGACAGGTTTTCAAAGTCTAGAAATAAGTAACCAAACGTCCGCACCTAATAAATCGGTTAATTGATCGAGTTCTGGCACCACATGGGATATTGTCGGCTTAATTTGGGTATTAGTAGGTCTATTGGTTTTGATATTGCCACCAGGTACGTGGTTGAAGTTGGACCTACCCTTCAAATTGGTGCCTGAAGGTTCCGGGAGTATACTTATACTACTGGTACGAAACCTCGGCTGATGATTTCGTTGAAGGGTGACTGGCATCAAAAAAGTATAAGGTTCTGCGATAAGGACGTCGGAATGATCCGTACGAAGTAAAAACTAGTCTTCGCTATTGAAGGTTGTCTATGTGTGAGTAATTTTGACTTGTAAGGTTTTCTTTATGTGTTATTAGTCATTATTTTGTCATCAGACTCTTAAAACAAGTCTGTAGAACGTCTCTTTTTTAATGGGGAGGTGATCGTTTGACCATGTACTTCGTTAAACGGTGCACTGTATCGACACCTAAGTGTTGGATTCAGAATCTGACTTTAATTTGTTCTGTTCAGAGATGAGAACTATAAGTCTTTCTATCTCTAGCTTTAATCAATCGAAACTGTTATAGATGGACAATCTTAGTCTTATTTATTATTATATTAAACTAATCTTCTATATATATCTTCTATATATATAAAAATGGATTGCTGTTCCTTAGTCTCGCTAAAACTCGAGAACAGCTAAACGGATTTTTCTTATCTTAGTCTTGAAATGTTCGTGGAGGTTCAGGGAAGGTATAAAAGCTGAAAAAAATTTATTCATCACTGGGAAAACCATAAAAACAGCCCTTTTCTATTTCCCATACAAACGTTTTTATTGACATTAGATTTGACAACTAACTAATATGTCAATCATTCTGTCGCACTTCAAAAAACGGAGATTTATGGCTTTAATAGATAAACTACAAATATATAAATAAAAAAAAACGTAATAGATATTTCTTGATTATAGGGCGATACGAAGTTCGCCAGGTCTTCTAGTAAAAAATATATTAGGTAAATTAAATATATTAGGAAGTATGTGAAGCCGCAAACAACTATAAGGAAACCAAACTAATAAGAAACACGTACGTCAGTTTATCACGTCGTGGAAAACATGTCTAAATGATAATTAAATAATATATATGTGATGAGTAGTACGATAATATTACTGTTTCAGTTCAAATAATGACGATTTTATAACTGTAGTATGCAAATAGGTATATAGTCCAATTTTACATTCTTGTGCTGCTTTGTAAGTTCATATGTTTGTGGCTACTTTTTAATAATTCATATGTATGAATATTGTATTATAATGTTATAATATAATATTCTATATATATAATTATTTATAATCATATATTAAACATATAAAATAAAAAAACAACTTCATTAGAACTTTTACACCTAAAACATGTCGCCTTCTTCTATCTTTTGTTAGACATAGGAGATTTTTGCATCTCATTAGCACTAAAATGGCGCACCTTAATTCATGATTGGTCGCTAGCATTGCTTAAATTCTATCTCCCCGCACCCGTAAGGTGAATTCATAGGATGCTAAGAGGTTTCGTCTCTTTATTAAAGAATAAAATATTTTAATAATTTTCAAATTATGTACATTGTACCTATATATATAATAGAGCTCAATGGATATAAACTATTATTGTTAAGCATGCGGGGATATATTTTGTCAATTCAGGCAGAAATCCCTACTAATATTATAAATGCGAAAGTAACTCTGTCTGTCTGTCTGTCTGTCTGTCTGTCTGTCTGTCTGCTACGCTTTCACGCCTAAACCACTGAACTGATTTTAATGAAATTCGGTACAGAGATAGAGTTGACCTTGAGAAAGAACATAGGATAGTTTTTATCCCAGACTTTTGAAAGGTTCTCTTGGAAACGCGATATAACCGAACTCCACGCGGCGAAGCTGCGGGCGGAAAGCTAGTAAAATAATATATTTATCACGTTCGTTGCTTATACAGACGTACGCCAAAATGGAAACAGGTTTTTGCTATATCGGCTGAATTATTTTTACACTCAGAAATATGCAAAATCAAAATTGTTTAAAATAACTAAGTGAATAAATATTATTCTTATAAAAAAATGAATGATGAAGAATAAAAATAATTCATACATATAAATTAAGCTACACATAGTTCATTACATTTTTACACATAGTTATAAGGTACTTGAGTCAGTGGTGGCCTTTTTTTTTTTTTTTTTTTTTTTTTTTTTTTATCGTGGGGAAATGCTTCATGCATACTCTCCTGCTTGGGGAAGAAAGCAAGGAGAGTTATGTCGGACTCTCGTCCTGAAAAGGACGCACTACCGACTAAAACCCCACGGGTGTCCCACGCGCCGCTCTTTTGCTAAGCCACAGGGCCCGCAGAGCGATTCTGCTGTGGCTTAGCAACGGCTGCCCCAAAAGGGACATTTCCAACTCATCTAGATCCTTCGTGTTGTCAGTGGTGGAAACTGAGCATTCGCGGGGCCTTAGACCGTGAGGTGGCAGACATCCCCAAGTCCGCCACCCGGAAGCCCCTTAAGGCGGGAGATGGCGCTCATGCGCTATCCGCCTTCGTCCCGGACGGCGTCGTCTTATCGGGTCAGAGGAAGGTGCCTTTTCCCGTTCTCTTTCATCGGCTTCTTTCAGTGAGATGACTTTCTCACAGAAAGAAGCCATCGCCTGCCAGAGTCAGTGGTGGCCTAGTGGTTAAAAGGCCCGCCTCTCATGCACGAGGGCGTGGGTTCGATCCAGGCCCTGGCAAGTACCAATGTGATTTTTCCGAGTCATATGTACTTTCTAAGAGTATTTAGACATCACTGATTAATACTGATTCCCAGAATAGGGTTGATGTCAGGCAGGCGGCCGATCATAAAAACAATTAGCCAAAACTATTAACAACATGTGAGGCAGACCCTGGCTAAACCTGGGAAATTGCCAGATAGAAGAATAAGTTATAATAATGTGATTATTTCGTATAAAATACAAGTTAAATTAAAAATGGCTTTGTTATAAATATCACATTCAGATCTCGTATATAGTTGGCAATATAGAAATATATAAATCTATGATGCTAAATGCTTTATCAATCTCAAGTATTTAATAAACATGATCTTTGCCATAATAATTCTGTATCTAGCTTTACAGTTGATTAAATATTGTAATAAAAAGGATTACTTATCTATAATAAATATAAAGAGAATAAAACGTTATTTTGTTGCAGACCAAAGACGAGACCATCAATATGCTAATACATAGGTTACTGTTGTCTATAGAAACGTAGTTCTTCAAATACTGCTCAAAAAACAATTCTGTGTTTGAAAAGAGAGGGAATTTTTGAATAGATTTTAATTTTTCGTTCATGAAAAGAGTTTTGGCTTATTTTATTATATTAATCTATTCAGTTCTAGAAAAAGAGATAATTATAAATGGACTAATTATAATCAAATAACAAAAAAGATGGAAAAATGTTAACAAGTTAAATTAAATAAGTGTTATTAATTACCATTAAACAAATAATGTTTTGCTAATGTTTGATATTAACAAATAGAAAACGTCAATGGCATTAAACCACGATATTTTAATACATTGTTTGTTCATATTAAACTAATTAACTTAAATATAATTAACACAGCGTTTGTTATGGAATTTAAACATTGAATTATTAGTTATAACTGAAATAGTTACTTACAAAACAATTAATCTTCTATATATATAAAAATGGATTGCTGTTCCTTAGTCTCGCTAAAACTCGAGAACAGCTGAACGGATTTGTCTTATCTTAGTCTTGAAATGTTCGTGGAGGTTCAGGGAAGGTATAAAAGGTGAGAAAAATTGGAATAATTGCCGGGAAAACCCTAAAAACAGCCCTTCTCTATTTCCCATACAAACGCTTTTTTTGACATTAGATTTGACAACTAACTAATATGTCAATCATTCTGTTTGATTAAAACAGGAAAAACCTGGTTATTTATGGCCTCTAAGACGGAATAGAGTTCGCCTGGTCAGCTATACATATATTAATAATGACGAAACTAACGCGGACGAAGTCGCGGGCAAAAACTAGTAAATTTATAAAAACAATTGTGGTTGAGTTGAAGTTTAATTTATTAAAGGACTTTTATAAATTGGTATGATAAGTTTTTGATCCTTTAAGTAAACGTGTATATTTATTTCTTTGCAAATATTTAACTTTTTTCTCCTCCCTTCGTTTTTTTATATACATATTTTATTCTGTTTTGAGTTTAAACTATTAAAACGCCTGATATTATTGCCTTGCAATAAATTTCTTGCAATTGGTTGCAAATGGTTTTTATAAATTTCACGAACATAATATTGTATCTAAAAAGAAAGCACTTAGTACTTGTTGAAACCTATAATTCTACATTTATCGACTTTAACGATATAATATCCATTAACTTTTAATATAAAAAAGAAAAATTAAAAATATAAAAAAACTTTAATAATACTTGATAAATAATATACTTATATATATGTACAATTGTATATTCATTATTTATGTTTTTTACTTAAGTATGTGCACCGTTATATCGTTAGTCGGACAGTGAAATTTGCACGGTTTAAAGATATTTAAATCAATAAAACCGGGATTTGAAAAACAAACTACATTTGTTTTCTGCATAAAATACAACAAAATAACACTTGTTTCGTTTATATTGATAAAAGTTTTTAAGAAATATTTAAACAACGTGATAAAAATTTATCATGTACTGTGTGTGATTCGTATCATATTATTTTCTGATTAATCAGTAATCGTCATTTCAAAATGTTGATTGTAATAAAATAAGGAAACAATAGCAAATATGGTTTTTGTATTTTGTTTGTTCTAAAAAATTTTGATATATATAATACACAATAGTTTTGGATAGAAAAAAATTTGCCCATGACCTAGACTATAATAGAAAGCTTTTAATTCTTGTATTTGTTGAGATCAAATAAGGATGTTCACCGTTATTCGGACCGGTCCCGAAGCAAGTTTCGAGTGAGGTTCCAAAATAAAATTTTCGTATTATACATTACTAAAATCGTAACAATAATAAAAATTGCTTTAATAATATGATATTTTACATAACAATTTAAGTTTACCATATACTTTCTTTCAGTAATATTTTCTTAATATTATCTTCTCCGTTAGTTTAGTGGCTCTATACTTATCTATATTTAAATGTGAAGTAAATAACAATTAGAGATGCCGTTGGAAAATAAATGTCATATAACTGTCGTAATAAAAACAGAAGTAATGGTACAATTTAAATTTCTTCTATTATATGTGTAAAACATTCTAAAAAGGTTTATATTTGTTAAAAAGATCTATAGACATACAATTGTAGATACTTTTTTAAAATCTCTTGTATAATGTCAATGATATTAAAAACAACTCAATACATCTTGAAGTAAAAAATAATAAAAAACACAAGTGTAAATAATATTTTCTCAAAAATATCACAAATAATTTTCAAATATTTTCTATTTTATGTGATAAAGTTATAATAATATATAAAATTTATTTGAATGGAATAAAACGAAATATAAATTTACCAGTCTTTTATTTAAATTATCCATTATAATCTAGCTGAGACCGCCTTATAATACCTTAAAATAATATCATACTACAATTATGCTGGACTGTTACCCAAACCCATGTTCATAGCGTTAAGTAAGTCACCATTGTCGGCATCAATTTCCCACGCGAAGAGACCACCGAGTTTATTATTCCTTACATATTTACCCTTTTCAATAACAGACCTCGCATTATCGTAGGTGATGAGGTCCCCAGTAGATGGTCTGAACACATAAGGAGCCTGGGCTACATTATCGTAGTGGAATTCCCATTTTCCTTGAGCGATTTCGTTGGCAATTTCTCTATAATCAACAACACCGTCTTGCCATGTTCCTTTGACTGGTCCAGTAGCATTTCCTGTGAATGGATTATTGCCTTCATAGCCATTAACTCCAGTCCATCCTCGACCGTACATAGCAACACCTACTACGATCTTTTTCGGTGACACACCTTGAGCTAGCAAATATTTCACACCAAAGTCGGTCGTGTAAGTCTCTTTAGGATTCCAAGCTGGTGCGTACAACGGAGTTTGATGTCCCAAAGTATCATTAGACCATGCTCCTTTGAAATCGTAACTCATAACGAAAATATGATCCATGTATTGTTGCGCTTTAGCATAATCGACAACCTGAATTTTGTCCCATCCAGCACTGATTGCTGAGGTCAGTTCGTACGTTTTACCAGTGGTAGCAGATAAGTCATCAAGCATTTCACGTAATTCTTCCATTAAACTAACGTAAACATCACCATCTTCTGGGCTTCCGAGGTCTGGGTTAGCACCTTTACCTCCAGGGAACTCCCAGTCAATATCAACACCATCAAAGAATTTCCAGGTTAAAAGGAAATCTTTAACAGATTCCACAAATCGCTGTCTCTTACTCTTATCAGTGAAGAAGAAGAAAGGATCGGCTAAAGTCCACCCACCAATTGATGGTAAAATCTTCAAGTCTGGTTTAGCTTGTTTCAATGACATCAATTGACCGAAATTGCCTTTATAAGGTTCATTCCAGGAGGAAAGACCTCTTTGAGGTTTCTGTAAAGCAGCCCAGGGATCATGTATGGAAACCTTAAAATCTTCCCGACCACTGCAAGAACGCTGTAGTGCTTGAAAACTTCCCTCGATTTCTTTCAAACTGTCATTGATGCCATCACCTCCACAAATTGGGATGAAACCGTAAAGAAGATGCGTGAGATTCGGAATCGGCACACGATCGACGGGGAATTTCCTAGGGTATACACCCCACTCAACGAAGTAAGCTCCAACCACTTTACCAGATGTCTGTTTGAATGGTTTGTTCTTTTCTCCCATTGAATACTCTAACGGGGGAAGATGGCTTCCATCGGTGTCAGCAATTACAATCTCAGTTGGTTCACTGTAACTGCAACCATCAGAGTTACAGAGTTCAATTTTCATTTGATATCTGCCTCCTTTTTCTATGGGGAAAGTAGCTGAAGTAGATCTTCCAGAACCCGACCAAACTTCCTCTCCATCGAAGAGTACTCTCGCTGTTTCCGCTGGATCTCCAGACCAGACATTCCATGTAACAGGGACTTGAGCGGCATCATTTCTCTTCACCAACTGGTTGTAAGCTGTGGCTGCCTGATTTACTTCTACAATCGCAAACGTTCGTTCACCCCATCCCAAATTTGGCTTCCCAGGTGGTCCGCACTCTGCAAACGCGATCAGTACCGCGAGAGCCAATGCAAACGCCTTATTCATGATTCTAAAAAATAAATAATTAAATGTTTAACATTTAAGAGTCGAGAGCGTACTGAGATGCATCTCAGAGGTATCTTTTATATATGGGGGCTATAGTAGGCCAACCGCTAACATGAAGCCTTTATCGATACTGATTTTGAGATGCGTAATAAATATCATTAGCACAGTTTCATGGCCCGGTCACATTAGTAGAGCGGCCAAGGTGACAAATTATTTTAATTGTCTCAGGTATTGTTTTCGGTGATTTACTAATGAGCCGAACCCGTTATGACTAAACCTTTTTTATCTTAAGCCGTTTCCGTTACACAAAGCTTATTCATTACTAAAATGAATCAATACATTAACTAGGATCAATTAACTATGATATTAAAATAATTTATATACAACTCACCAATATATAACTGATGTAATTTATATCAAATAAAACAGTAAAATATTAATTCATCTACTTTAGTACTATCAATTGCGTCAAACATTTGTAAATACTATACATGTTGTGATCGAATGCTCCACTAATCATTGTATGTGTACGGAGTATCAATTGATAACGTAGATTGTTATCAAGGCATATCTTTTATCTATCAAGATATGGAATGTTCCATTCAGACATATAGAAAATTTATAATAAGTTTCTAAAACTTAACTTATCACCAATATAGTAAAAACTATATATATTCTATGACAAAAATCCGTTTAACAATTTTAATAGATTCTTTGTTATAAAAAGAGAAAAAAATATATAATTCTCAAATAAATCCAAACCAATTACATTTTAGTTTTACATTATCAATTAGTTAATGTACTCATTAAAAATATTTGACTCATAAAAGTCCTCATTTTTTATTATGTACATATGTATATTGTATATTTATAGAAAGTTATTTGTGTCACAGAAGTATACAAATGTGTTTATTGATTTAAAAATATTCGTATGGTTTGATACCGAAACTACATCGGATTACTGTAATTTAAAATAAACTATTTTCTATAGATTGTTATTGAAATTAAATGAAGGTTTTTGTATAAACAATCGATAAATAACTTAATCATTTATATAGGAACTTGAAATAATATATAATTATTCATTTGGTGCTTAAAACGTGATGTTTTTCTTAAGTAATAAGGAAGTTAACATCACACTTGTAACAATAGGAGTATGTATGTCTCTTCGTTTGTAATATCTGCGTAACTATAATTGGTTTATTATATGACTCGAGATATGAGATATAAACTATGTTAACACAATATATATTTAATTATTGTCATTTACAATTAAGTTACAAAATATTCTTTTAAGACATCGTGAAGTTACTTTTTGTAAATAATAATCGTCTGACAAATAGATTTAAAATATTTTATTTATATATTTTCTAATTTAATTAAAAGAAGATAATTAAACAAATAGATATTCCAAAATAGACCTTTTGACGTGTTATAACTAGATTTAAAATATTTTTAATTATATGAAATGTTTATTTAATTCAAAGAAGATGATTAAAAAAAATATTTTGAATAGATTTTTTATTGAGATTTAATTGTTTAATAATTATTGATTTATGGTGTTGTTATAAAAAGGGAATACTAAATATTAGAAGTATCCACGACTACTTTGAAATATAAAACAATATTTTTTGTTTGCATTTATCACAATTCATTACTTATATGTTTCACTACTCAGTGCTTTTATTAGTCATAAGGGCTTAACAAAATACAATATAAAAAAAAATTGTACTAACATATGTCTTTGTCATCCAGCGACGTGACATTTCAAACCTTTTGGCATTAGCACACAATGTATTCAAGACCAAGTCAATGACCGTACATCGGGGTCGAATACACGGCGAAAGTTAGGAATCTTTGGTATGGTGTTACAATTTAATTCATTACTAACTAGCATGTCCTGCGACTTCACTTGCATGGATATTGGTTTACGAACCAAGAAACAAGAAACATATGACCGAAGTCATATATGGTAAGATTTATAAAATTTTTGAGTGTGTTCGTAAAGTGACAGATGAAAAATTCGTGTATTTTTTGATATTGATAGTAAGTCTGTATGACTAGAAAATATATGAAAATCAAGTATTTTTTCAGGAAAATAATTTAATTATATAAATTTTAATTTATAATAATAGAATCGTGATTTAAACGATATTGACAAATAATTTATTATTAACTAAAATGTCACATAATGTCGAGGTAAGCCAACCTTTACCTCTTCGTATTATTGTTCACTTAATTAGTTTCATATTAACATCCTGCTTGAAATAGAATAATCTATTAGAAAGTTTTTCGTTTTTATTACCTTAAAACTAGTGTGTACACGCCTTATGTGGGTTACGGCTGGTCAGAGCGACTTTTATCTTATATCAGAACGTTTATATCATTGACCACGAAATAAATAAACACGTGGTATCTTCTCTAATAATAACAAACTAAATACATAATTTATTATTATTTAGATTTGGTTATATAAATATCCTGAATTGTTTTCTATCCTAACGCTATTGTTATTTATTTAAAAACAAATTACTTTGTCAACGTAAACTGATTTGTCCAACGAATGTTATATTAAATGTATCTTCGAGATACATTTTTTTAATTTAAAAGTAAACAAACAATAAAACAGGTAAAATAATTGTATCAAAACAATATAAATTATCGTTTAATAAAATTGCACTCGAATTTTAAATTTCATTTTGGTATTCAAACTTTAGAACCACTTTTAGTATTTTTTTGAATTAAATCGCGGGCTTTCTGTTCAAAAGATTAAAGCCCAAACCGTATGGTTGATAGTTCAATAAATTTTGGTTATGAATCGAAGGGGCGAATAACGGTTTCCCGTAACGGTAATAAAGATATGCCCGTATTAACATACGTAAATACCTTAACAATCTTTTACCTGTCAAAATACCTTATCGCATCGAATGCATTAGCATCTCCTGAGTCAATTTAACTAAATCGCACAAGTTATATCTTAATGAAGCAATCTTAACTGTGTATTAACCCAGAAGAAACATCTCAAAATCATTACGATCAATCAAAAAAACAGTTATCACATATCAAAAAAAAATATAAGTCACCTAAACAAAGCACTATTGTTCCGATCTATGTCACTCCGAAGCAGACATGCGCTCGCGCAGACACTTATACTATCACAATAGGCTTCAGGGAAATCGCAGCAAGGGTTTATATTTATATGTTAAACACGTCTAGCGAATCCCTGATACCACGGTACGGAAAATGTCGCGATAGGAACGTTTTTAACCTTGTCAATTTCTTGGTACAAGTCATGTGGGCCATACAATGCATTATAATCTTATTTCTTTTAATAGGCTTTATGTGGCTTTTATGATTAATATTCTTCTTATTCACACTTGCGGCTTTGTTCGCATTAAATTTATTAGTTTACAATTTGTGTCAACTCATATTATAATTTACATACAAAGAAACAGCGAACCGTTTTCTCGTCATATATTCAATTATTTCTAATTTCGTCAAATGTGCTAAGAAGAAAGGGATATTATATAATAAAAAAATCTGTTGAATTATTAGAGAAAAGTATAGTAGACCAAAAAATTCTAGAAAAAAATACCCACAAACAAAAAATCTAAAAAAAAATACCCACATTACATATTGACCCCATTGTTTTTGAAAATCACATTTTCTGTTGTTAGTTTGCATAGAGTATATTAGATACGCGTCAAGAATATAAAAAAAATGAATAGAAGTTATTTGGAAAGTATTTTTGTCATAATTTTCACGGTTTCACTTTTATTAAGTAATTTTGAACTATTGGTTCTTCTAGTATTAAATCATAGATACAAAAAAGTATTACTTAAATCAAACAAGAAATTAAAACATTAAAATTTAATTACCCTTAATATCTTATGTGATTTTCTTATATTAAAAATTAACTTCTCAGTTTATAAATATAAATATAATTTACATATTTAAATTTAAACCAATGTTCCAGTACATTGCAATCGCATTTAAGAATATACACGCGCTTTCTTTAGCAGCAATTGTTATCCAGAATTTTATATTTTAAATAATATTATAATATACATTATTTGAAGACAGATGAATCAGTTCATTATAATTTATCAAATGTATCAAACATTTATATTTAAAATATGTAAATATTAAAAGTTACAGAATATCTTCATTAATTGGATTTAAGAACGCATTAACTTGCTAACTGCCTTTAATTTTCTAAAATTAAGTATCTCAATAGTTCGCAAATAAATACGAATGAAAAGTGAAAAAACTAAATGGAAATTGTCGTAATAATTTACAATATTGGGAAACTAAACACATGTTTAGAAAATAGATAATAAAATATTTGAAGTTCCTAAGAAAATAAATCGAGAACATTTTGCTCGAATATTATATATATATATGCAATTTATATATAGCAAAATATTTATTTAAAGTCGCCACAACTCATGTACCACATAATAAGGTGCTTGCCCCGTAAACATTTAGTAAGCGCATCACGTCGCTTGACGGAACCCATCTCTGTTCCGCGTTTTATTGATTTCAACGATAACAAAGAAACAAACGATGTACAGATACTGAAATTGATCTGTTTGTTTTAATTAAAACATTATCATTCAAACGTGATTTAATTTAATTTATAATTTAAATTTATGATTTAAATTTAAAATTTTGAAACCCTGCTTGTTCATAAATTATATTTGATATTTGTTTTTTTAGTATTTATGTAAGAATATATTAGAAGTATCTTCCTTTGAGGATATAACCGAGTATTAATTATCTGTAACTGACAGATTAATGTTTGCAAAAAAAAACAAGAAGCCCTAATAAAAATGGAATAACATAACCAGTGTTAATACGAAATAATGATTTCTTATAGAAGTCAAAACTTTATATATATACTGGGAATAATCTCTCACTTGGTTTTTTTAATTTAAATTTTTTGGGAACAGTTTTTTGTTATAATTAAAAAGACGTATGATTTTTCAACCATTAAATAG